AACTACAAATACCATAACTGTGTGTCTTACTCATGAAATCGTACCCCAGTATAATTCTTCCATAGAGGATGGTGTTGAGCCAGTGCATAAATTGTGGGAATTAGACAACATTGGAATAAATGTAAATGAAGAAAGTCCAGATGATTCTCTTACTCAGGATCAATACCTGAGAGATGTAAAATTTGAATCTGGACAATACAGGGTACGACTTCCGTGGAGACTGAACCATCCAGAATTGCCCACTAATTACAGAATGGCATATGGACAATTAAAGGCTCAGCTCCGCGAACTGAGTAAGACACCAGAATTGTTAACTGCCTATAATGATATAATTGCTGAACAATTAATTAATAAATTTATAGAAATGGTACCTCCTGAGCAAGCCAAAATTTATGGTCACTATTTGCCCCATCACGGAGTGAAGAAGGATTCTAAGACCGCTCCTTTGAGGATTGTGTTTAATTGTAGTGCCAGGAGTAACAAAAATGTACCTAGTTTAAATGACTGTTTGATGACAGGTCCGTCGTTGATGGAAAAATTAGGAGATAACTTATTAAATTTCAGAGTGAAGCATTATGCCTTTACGGCTGACATAAGTAAAGCTTTCCTAAGAGTGGGTTTACAAGAGGCTGACCGGGATTGTATCCGCTTCTTATGGCCTGAGAATCCTATTGACCCACTTAGCCCTCTGAAAACCTTTTGCTTTAGGAGCGTATTATTTGGTGCTACATCCAGTCCGTTCCTACTTCAAGCGACGATAAATACACACCTTAAACGTTAGGAAAGTCCATTGAGTAAAGTAATGAGCAAACAATTTTATGTGGACAATTTCCTGGGTGTGATGTCAACTGAAGAGGAACTGTTAATGACTTATGGAGAGGCTAATAAAATAATGCAAAGTGCAAATATGCTTCTGAGGGAATGGAATAGTAATTCGTCCAAATTAAAGGACAAAATAAGTAAAGATTACCCTGGAGATGAAGTGCCAAAATGTAGTAATGTATTGGGTTTAACTTGGGATACTGAGAGAGATTTCTTAATGTTAAAACCTAATAATTACAGTATGCCCAACAAATTAACTAAGAGAGTTTTGCTTGCTGAAGTTTCCAAATGTTTTGATCCACTAGGTTTAGTGTCACCCCTTACTCTAAGAGGGAAATTATTAATACAGGAAGCATGGAAACTTAAATGTACTTGGGATGAAATTCTACCTGAGGAATTCATTAACAGGTGGGATGAATAAATTGGTGATTATGAGAAAATTCCAATGTTGGAGTTCCCATGCCAGGTGGCCAATCCAAATGCGAAAAATGTACTCCACATTTTTTGTGATGCTTCAAAATTGGCATATGGAGCAATTGCTTACCTTCAATGTAATAGTGTTATTTCTCTTGTTATGTCTAAGGCTAAAGTGTCTCCAATTAAATCACGTACCTTGCCTCAGTTGGAATTAACAGCCATTTATATAGGTGGCAAATTAGCTAATTATATAAGAAATAAGTTGCAGGAGATAAATATTAGCGACACTGTAATTTGGTCTGATAATGAGGTATCCTTACAATGAATTCATAATGGAAACAGTAAAATTGTGTACGTACAAAACAGAGTCGCTGAAATTAATCAGATGGAAGAGAAGTATAATAGTTTGGGTCAGCATATGTTAACATTTAATCATATACCTGGTGAGGAGAATCCAGCTGATTTCTTGTCTCGAGGTTTACCTTATGCTAAATTTGTAAATGCTGTATCATGGTTTAAAGGACCGAGCTGGTTGGTAAATAAAGCTAATTGGCCTGTACAAAAGGCGTATATTACTCCTGTTGAAATTACCGTGACCACCGCTCCAATTGTTTGTCCTTCCTTAGCCATTGATTTAAATAGGTGTTCTTCTTTATCCAACCTAATCAATGTAACTAATTTGGTGTTTAAATTTCTAAACAAGATGAATATTTCATTTAAGTTTTCACATCCTCTTGAATATTGGATAAAGAGGGTACAGGAGGAAATCTATGGAAATGAGATTAAATTGATGATGGAAAGAAAAATTGTGAAAGGTTCCATAATAGAGAAATTGGGGCTGTATTTAGAGAACAATGTAATTAGGTGCAGAGGTAGGTTACAAAATGCTGAATTGGGTGATTATGCTAAACACCCTATCTTACTGCCCAAAACTCATTATCTAACCAATTTAATTGTTCTAAATGCCCATAAAAATGTAATGCATGGTGGGGTACAAGATACCTTAATTTGTATTAGGGAAACTTTCTGGATTCCACAAGGACAGCAAAGTGTAAAAAGGGTGATTAAATCTTGTGTAATATGTCGCCGTGTGGATGCCAGATCCTATATGTACCCAGGTCCTCCACCATTGCCAAATGAGCAGTTTGAGTCATTTAGCAACGACCTCCGCCTGGCCGCAGTGTGGAAAATACTGTATATATTTTCCGGAAATACGGTAATTTATAGGTAAATAGATAACCTATATTGTATTTTTAAAAGAAGTATGTTATCGAAAATGGGAAACCTGCGGCTGGGGAGGTTAGTCGCCATTTTGTTTGAATTGAATAACACGTTGTGGATAATGGGAAGGAATTTTCGTGCTCTAGAGGTTAAAATTGGGCTGACACCTCTCAAATAGGAGGCGAAATTGTTGGATGTGCAGTCCAGGCGACTGGACAAGACAGATCCAGGAACCTCAGATAAGTCTGTTATGTTATAACTCTGGCCAGTTGTTATTTTCATGTATAGACAGTGAGGTTTTCTGAGTATGATACAACTTAATCTCCAGTCAAATTGGTGAGTGTTATGATTAAGATATATTCTCCTTCTGTTATATAAATGATGTATTTATATATAATCATTTTTTAATTTTAATATACAGTCCACAATTTATATATTTACCAGTATTCCTGGTGAGGTATATTTCATTTAATTAATAGGTCCAGAGCAACTTGTGGATATGACAGTGGTAGGTATCGAAGGGGGACATTTTTTGCGACATAGGTGTCCCAAATTCCTACTTGTCTAACTGATAAATAATAATTATCTGTGTTCATTTACTGTTATGTATATACTGATACATTCAGATAAATGCAATTTTCCACACACACTTCTCAGTATATATCCTGTCTCTCCTGGAAGGTTGCAAGACCGATATTCTTCTTTTCTGCAATATTCAATATTCATAACATTGTAAGGTGCATTTCTTTATAAGTTTAGTAACAATATTAATCACATCAAATTAGTAACAATATTAATCACATCAAAACATATTATTTAGCCTCCATATGATATTCCGTCGCTTGCAACATTAAAGACACAAATTCATATAATTTAAATTGCATATTACGTGTTACGCCGTTAAACTAAAATTAAATATCATTTAGGGCAATAAAGTCTTTTTCAGTTCAACATCAGCAGCAGCTACTGGAATTCGATTTGATAAGAAATAAGCAATTATGTCTAGTGGCAACTCTCTGGGTATATAAATATTGTACTCCAGTGAACTCTTCTTGAGTCTAGCATTCAAGAATTTAAATAGAGATTGGCACGCATGTTAATTATCTGCTGGAGGGGGCAGAGGGGAGGTAGACTGGTTTATGATGGAAAATTGTGGCTATTAAGTTGATACCAACGCCTACACGTGTACACACACACACACACATATACAGGTACATACTCACATAAACATGTATACACTCACACGTGTGCACACACGTATACACAACCACATCTAGGCGAGTACACATACACACACACGCATATACAAGCCTTTTTTTTGGTAAATGTAATGCTCCCGGATCTTCATAGCCGCCTCGAGATGGTTTTCTTCAAGTTCCTTCCAGCATCCTAACAATCCGTTATTATTTCACAAACCTGAACCTCCAGAACTTCCTTCAGCGTTCCTGAATATACAGCTAAAACAATAAAAAGCATTTAAATTGATCTTCAGAATTTAATAAGAATAAAACTATAGAGAATTTTTTAGTGACGTCCAAACGGCAGAAAGACCACACCGATGTCACCGAACCCAGTAAGTAAGTAAGTAAGTAAGTTTATTCAGGTATACACAAATACAGTTACATAGAATTATCATACATAGCAGCATATGTGTAGAGAACCTAGGATAACCCAAAAAAGTCAGACAGAGTGACTTATTTCCATTGGGATCCTTTTACCTTATTATTATAGTATAAAGGTTATAATATTTTCTTATTATTCTACAATGAAGATAACATCTTATTATCATACTAAAAAGACTATCTGCTACACCAAGGTCATTAAGACTATCTACAATACGAGGGTCATTACAAGGAATAAGGTAAAATTTACACGTATGTTAGCTAAAAAATAGAAAATCATTCCCCTCCCTTTCTGTAGCTACATTCATCAGACACCTTTTGGCACTCTTCTTGAACTGGTTCACGCTATGACTGGCTTTGACATGTGCGGGTAGTCTGTTCCATTCCTTTATTGCTGTACAATAAAAGGTGAAGAGTTCAAAACTTTTTCTTGTTTATGTCCAGCTCATCTTGCATTCACTAACACTACTTGCCAGTTTGGTCCTCTCATCTACAATTCTAGTATCAAACTATTGCTTTATTATATCTTGATAATGGTCTAGTTTCCTATTCTAAGAGAGGGTTGTTTGTGAAGTGTTCCACCCACGGTATTGGGACCTTTATTTTAATATATCTCTTCAAAAATTTTACTTCATCAAACTCTTCTGTAGTTTCCAGCTCTGTATGGCTTCAAATTTAGCGCCTTTCCATGAGTAAAATATATAAATATATAAAATATTACGAAAAAAAGGCACAGACCGTGACGGGAAAATACATAAATAACCCACCATGGGAAAAAGAAAATTATGACGACTTTTTTGGTCCGACTTAAACCATGTAACATATATATATTCATTGTTTCCAGTACTGTCTTTGTTAAATACCATCACAGAAAAAAAATTTCGGTACTTTAAAATTTAACTTGCTTCCTGCTTTCAGAAACTGATCACTCCCAGGCCAGTTCGCCAGAGTTCCTTTACAGTGTCGAAAGGGAAAAAGGGAAGACCGGAAAGGGGTGTTGTTGTTGACCCCTTTCTGTGGAGGCCCTGATGGATCTTTCCCAGATGGAACTGTGGTCGTTCTTTTCCCTGCCCAAGGCCGAGGCTGCCATGCAATGTCCAAGAGGAACGTTGTTCCCACGGGGCCTCCGGTGTGTGTAGGGCCCCACCAAGCCTCCTGTACCCCAATGAGTTTCAGTTTGGCCGGTTCGCGGTGTCTTACTAGTGACATATTACCCCGTTCGCGTGTTTTCCTGGGCGAATTCGGTCTTCTTTATGATAATTAGTATTACGTAGTTATTAGTCTGCTCCCAGCACTAAAACCCTTTTATTATTTTTTTTCTTTAAATTATTATAATCTTTCGTAAATTTCTTCGGTATCTTTCCTCTTTAAGCTCCTAGACAGTCTTTTTTAATCACGGGAAAGTTTTTCATCAAAATAATTTCCCTTATATAAGAACATAAGAACATAAAACGAAGGAACACTGCAGAAGGCCAATGGCCCATGCAGGCGGTCCAAGTCTCCTCCCGGGCTTAAGCCAATGCCCAACCTAGTCAGGTCAGGTCACTTTGATTTAAAGGGGGGAAACAGGGACCGAGGTAGCACAATATCAGGTCCAACTCACACCACCCACATCCACTCTGATTTTCCAACCTATTTTTAAAGCTACCAACGTTCTGGCCCTATAAGGGTATTTGGGAGTTTTTTCCCAACTCATCCACAACTCTTTTAAACCAAACCGTACTTTCCATACCTTTCCCTGAAATCTAAATTTTTTCCCAACTTAAAACCATTGCGCGAGTCCTGTCTAGTTAGATATTTTCAGCACACTTTACATCCCCTTATTTATTCCTGTTTCCATTTATACACCCAATCATATCCCCCCCAATTCTACGCTTTTTTAGAGGTGCAGATTCAGGGCCCCTTTTCTATCCTCATAGGGAAGGTTTTGATACAGGGACAACTTGCTTCCTCCTTTGTACATTTTTCCCGGAATTTTTTATCCATTCTGTAATACGGTGACCAAAACTGTGCACTAATCTAAAGAGGCCTAACCCCAAGGGGGATAGAGTTGAAAACAACCGAGCCCTATTTTTTTTATGCTTCTTGATAGAAACCAAGGGTTTATTAGCTTTTTTGCGAAAACTTTGCACTGTTGTCTTGGTTTTAGATTACGCAAAACCCGAACTCCTAAATTTTTTCGCAACCGTAAAATTTTAAACTACATTATTTTTTTTATATTGGCATGGTTTTTGTCCCCGTCCAACATTTAGAACTTTGCATTTGCCCATATTAAACTGATCTGCCACTTCCCGACCACGATCAGTCTATTTTAAACTTCCTGGGGTGCTCAAGTCCCCGTCAAAGAATTTTGACGCCTTTTTGGTGTCATCCAAACTTGCCCATGTGCTCTTTATGCCCCCATCATTCGTTTATGTAATTTTTGAACAGCAGGGGGGCCCCAAAACTGACCCCCGAGGGAAAACCGTCGTGACGCTTTTTCCCCCTCTGATTTCTCCCCCATTTTTGCAAACCCCTTTTGCTGCCTATTTGTCAACCCGCCCCACCAGGAAAAAAAAATTTTTCCTCCTATTCCATGTGCTTAATTTTCCCAAAAGTCTCGATGTGGACCCTTTTAAAAAACCCTTTTGAAGTCCCTTACACAATTCATATTATTACCATGACTACCTCCTCAAATACCTTTTTTGAAAAAAATAATAAATTCGTAAGGGAGGAACCCCCTTTTTTAAAACCATGCGAGTTCGTTGATCAAATTTTGCTTTTTAAGGGGCTACAACTCCTGGGAATTATTTATTCCATAAATTTTTCCCCCCAAAGGGGGTTAGGCTTTTGGTCTATGTTCGAACTAAGGACCTGTCACCTGCTTTGAAAATTTGGTATCACATTTGCCCTTTTCCACTTATCTGGCACCATGCCATTTTTTAGTGATTTGTTGAAAAAAATTTCCCCAAAGGGGTGCTAAGCTCCTCTTTCATTCCTTTTTGAACCCTTGATACAGTTCATCAGGGCCTGGGGATTTGTTAGGTTTTAATTTATCTTTTGCCTAAGAACCCGTCACTTGTGACCCCCAATCGTGCTAGTTATTATCTCCTGTTCTACATAATTTATCATTACTGGAAATCGTGGTATCTCCCATGTAAAAACTGAGAGGAAGTATGTGTTAAAAATTCTACACATTTCCTTTCACTGGGCCAGTAGCTGACCCGAGCAACTTTTGAGGGGCCATCTTGTCCCTGACTTACTTCTGTATACCTGAAAGAAACCTTTTGGGTTAGCCGATTCTCTTAATTTAAACCCCACAATCTCTTTTTTGCTTTTCTAATTCCCTTTTTTATTTCTCTCTTTTCTGAATATATGATTTCTTAAATTTCCCCCCCTCCTCTTTTGATTTGCCCATATATGCCTCTCTTTTGACCCAAACAGATATTTTTAAACTATTTTTCATCCATTTAGATTCATTTTTGTTTGACTGAATTTTCCCTATTTGGAACATAAATTTTACTGAGCGCTAGAACTATGCCCTGGAAACATCATATTTGGCAACCTCCCACCTACCTGACCCTTATCATCATTTCCAAATTCAGCCCACCCAAGTAATTTTTCAGTCCTATGAAATCACCAACGAAGTCAGGGGACGGAGACTTATTGCCATTTTTAGGGGAATTCCATGATATTTAAAACGGTGATTTTGGACACTTTCCCCAAGCTCATCATTAACCTCCAAGATTATTAAAATTAGTGTTTCCCTATGGCAAGAACCAAGTCAAAAAGGTTATTTCCCAGTTGGCTCGGGCAAAACCTTTTTAAAAAACAAACCTGGATCGTTTAAGAAAGTCACCCATCTAAAAATTTTCCCGTCAAAATTTCTCCCGTCAATCTGTCTATAGTTAAATCTCCCCTTTGCACAAATTTTCGTATGTAGATGCCTTACGAATTTCGTCCCATAGAAGTTTACTGCACTCCCTTTCAAGATTTGGGGCCCTGTAAATCACACCCAAAATTAGTTTTTTCTCGGCCCTCGAGAAGCTGTAACCAAACAGATTCAGTGGCTGACGCTTCTACTTTTATATCTTGTCTAACACAGCAATTTAAATTGTCTCTGACATACATCGCTACTCCACCACCCTTCCTGTTGACCCTGTCAGTGTGGAATAATTTATAGCCTTGTATGTGACATTCAGAAGGCATCTCTCTATCTTTCAGATTGAGCTAGGTCTCTGTTATAGCAATAATATCTATGTTTCCTGCACTTGCAATTAATCTTAGCTCATCTATCTTATTTCTTACACTCCTGCTATTAGTATAGTAAACTTTAAGGGAGCTAGTCCCTTGCTGTCCTCTGCTGTCCCCCTTTGTTTGCTGACCTGATCTATTGTCTTTATTTATAACTTCATGCTGAATGCCTTTTATACATTTACTGATTCCAACCCTAGTGTTGCAACCTGCTTGTTTCTCACACACACCCATACCTCTATCTTCCATCAGTTTAAAATCATAGGCATTTCACCAATGGCCTTCACAATCGAGTCTGTAAGTGCTACCACCCCAGCCCCAGAGAGATGTACCCCATCCCTTGCATACATATCATGTTTGCCATAAAAGCTGTTCCAGTTGTCAATGAATGGGATTGCAAGTTCCTTGCAGTATCTGTCTAGCCAGCAATTTACACCAATTGCCCTAGACAACCATTCATTTCCTACTCCCCTTCTAGGCAAGATGCTACATATGTTTGGGATCCCTCCCTTAGACTTAATGAAATCTATAGCTGACCTGTACTTATCTAGCAGCTCTTCTCTCCTACCCTTCCCAATATCATTTCCACCAGCACTGACACAGATAATGGGCTTGTTCCCATTACCTGACATGATATTATCCAGCCTGTTGACAGTGTCCCCAACACCAGCTCCAGGGAAGCACACTCTATCTCTCATCTTCTTATTCCTATTACAAAAAGCACGGTCAATATATCTTACCTGAGAGTCACCAACCACAAGAATGCGCTTACCTCCATTAGCAGGGGCAGTAGTACCCTTACCTTCACTGGCCACTGAAGTACATTCATCTTGAAGAACAGAGAAGCGATTTCCTACCTTCAGATCTTCACTCTTAACTTTCCTTACTCTGATGCGCCTCCCATTACTGTGAACCACTCGCCACTTGTAGCAGGTGCTGGACTGCACCTCACTGCTGGTAGCCGTTGCTACCTCCCCAACTACAGCCTCCTCACAGCGAGAGACAGACTGCACCTCACTGCTAGAAGCCTCATTCCCCACAACTCCAGCCACCTCACACTCTCTCCCAGACCCATTGAGGTGGACCTTCAGCCTCCTAATCTCCTCCTGGAGAAGCAAGACCTCCTCCAACTCTCCAACCTCAATTTTTAAAACACTGCAGAAGCAAGCCATGCTTTGTAACCGTCCACGCTAATCCCCAAAGCAGTTCAGGGTCTGTGACCTCACGTGACCACTGACCACTTTATGTTTATCTTTCCTTCAGAGGAGCTCCTAGTCTTTCCAAATACTTCCCTATGAGGTAAAAAAAATTTGTCTGACTACCTGAGCATAACTTTTTATAACTATATCTATATGTTAGCGGCCTCTTTACTCCTCGTCTCTCTCTTGCTGGACCTGCTCGGCGTGGTCCTATACTGAGCCATCTCTATGTTTCCCACTCATCTTATTCACTGCTGGTCTTGCTTCTCACTCATTTTCATCTCTGTAGGTCCAAATTGTCATTATTTCCTTAATAAACACTTTTGTTTACATGAGTTTTCCCTAAAACCTGGTGTATATGTATTTAGCTTCGCCTGAATCATTGCTGTTAACAATTTATTGACTTGAAATTTTGTCTTAAATCTAAAGTAACTACGCTTGTAGTGTTGTATAATAGTAATTACACTCTGCTTGAAAAAAAATGGGATATTTGATCCATTATAAACACAAATTTTCAAGATACTAGAGTGAAAAATA